GCTCGACGAAGTGTCAATGTTGAATGGTGGGCCGTACTAATTAATTAATGCTTTATTATTTGTAATTTTGAGGCACACAGAAATGAAAATTTATGTTTGGTAATTGAAATAACAATGAAAGCCACATCTACTAGCTTTAAATTATCTAATGCTACCATTATCTATATTATATAATTAGTTGGGATCCGTATGATGCATGAGCTTTATTACCAAAAATTGAGAAACGAGTTTTATGACATTTCAAATATTATTTTTTGGGTTATATTTAATTTATTCAATTATAATTCAAGTTGAATTTTAGTGAGAATGGTTAATTTCATATGCTCTAGATAAATTTGCATTAATTTTTGTATATATTAATTATATTTTTATTAATGTTTTAAAATTTCATTGGTTTGTTATTATTTTGCATTATGTTATAGGTAAAATTATAAGAAACCTCCTCTTATAGCAATTTTATAAACCACCCTATGTTTTGCATGGTTTTTAAAGTTGAACCGGTCAGGGTCCGGTTATCGGTTCGAACAGTCCGGCTCGTTCTGACAAAAAAATTAAAAAAATTAAAAAAATTTGAAAAATGGTCAAAATCATTTGAACAGTTCGAATGGTTAACCGGCCGATTTAGTGGTTTGCTGACCAAAATTAACGGTTTTGGGGAAAAACGAAACCGATCAAGTGATCAGTTCTCAGTTTTTCCGATTTGACAGTCCAATCCAGTCCGGTTTTGAAAACCATGGTGTTTTGATCCTAAAAATACGTCCCCTACAGTTTTAAAAAGTGCAAATATTTCCTTTCTGTTAGATTTTCAATAACAAAGACATTGTAGTTACCAAAATACCCTTATCATTATTAAGGCGTTACCGTACACAATTTAAAGTTTAAACTTCATCCTCCACTAATTTTATTTTACCTTACAACTTTCAAGTAGTAATTTTCTCTCTACTCTTCTTCCATAAAATAAGGTTAAGGCTGAAGTGAATGGAACAAATATATATATATATATATATATATATATTGTTTCAACGTATTTCAGTAAATTTACTTCTAAATAAAGTAGGTTAAGAGTGAATTTTATATTCAAAAATTTTAATGCATTACATCAACATTTTCCATTTGGAATTCTGGTAGAAGGTATATGCACATTCTTTTTAGAACAATGGTTTTTTTTTTCCTTTTTTAACGTCAAAACACGGGAGGTTCATAGGAATGTTAGAAAACTCAAGGACACTTTTATAATTTCCCAATTTCTGAATGGAATTTAAATTAACTAAAATATATTTAAAATTAGTAATATTTTATTAACATTTACTAACTTTAATTAATTATATTAAGCTTTTGTTTTTTTAGAGGAATTTAAGTTGGTTTCAAATTAATAGAGTTTAAATAATTATTTTTTTAGCAAGTAATTTACTAAATTATTTTTACTATGATTAATTAATATTTATTATTTTTAAATAGAATATAAATGGATTATAATTTTTATGATGTTTTATTTAATGTTTCCAACCTATCATTGACTCAAGATGATTGAACTGTCTCGAATAGTAACTTGGTTCTATATATAATTCCATGTTTCCTAAGACCCACTATTTTGTCAAAAACCATTGATTTTCTCAAAACCTATTCAACTTGGGCTTGAACCATTGTCCCTTTTGGCAAAGTCATTGGGTCATGGGTTGTAATATACAATGTATTGAAAAGTTCTAAACAAGTTAACTTTGTGTTCAATTGTACAATTTAGATGATGTTTTTTTTATTATGAGTAATTTTTTTGCAATCTTTGCAACCCCTCCATACAAAAAAAAAAACTAATATTTTTGCCTTAATTTCAGTTTTTTATCTTTTACTTATAAAAAATTAAAAAGTAAAAATTAGAAATATTATATACACACAAACACACAGACACACGTAAAGTGTAATTATATATATATAATGTATCACGATTTGACTCGTCCAACTCACACAATTGAGCCATTTACCTATTAACTAGAGGCAAAAACTATAAATCCTCTAAGCTAGTTTCTAAAACAGTAGTTAAATTGTTGAACAAAGTAAATAATATTTATTTGGAAAAGTAAATTACTTGATTAATTAACTTAAAAATTAAATATCTTTTAAATAGAGGTAGACTATTTAGCCTAATAATATAATTAATCATTGAATATCTCCAATTCAGGATAATTACTTTTATTAATAATTATAAGTTTATATAAATATATCTAATGTATCTAAAATTATAGTTACATTGAAATGTATATAGATATAGATAAATTTAGTGAATTTAATGGAGTAATGGGGAGGAAAATTAGTGGCATAAGTTATTGAGGTTGCTTTTAGAATCGGTGTAAATCAAGAACGGCGTAAAAGTTTACACCGGTTTGATTTTGTCCATGTTTGGAAGGAGAGTGTAATCATGGTCAATGTAAAGCTGCACTCTGGGTCAGTTTTGCATACGGTTGGATGGAGTGGAGTTTTACATCAACAATCAATGTAAAATCTATCAAACGTAAAGTTTTACATCAATTATCGATGTAAATACTATATCGATTTTATTGATGTAAAACTTTACACTCTTCACCCATTCGTTTTTTCAAAAAGCAACAGTCACTTTCACGGTTCAGTGCAAAACGTCACCAATATACTTTTACACCAATGACACTTTACACTGATTCCAAAAGCAACCTAAGGAGTTAATGGCATAATTAATGATGAAAGATAATTAAATAAGTTAATGGGAAAGATGAGAGATTTAATAGTGAGTTAATGAGGAGAGATAAAAGTAGTAAAGGTGAACTTTGCTATATCTTGGACTCCATAAAAATAATAAATATTAAAAGTAGTAAAGCTTATCCAAGTTTCATTGTGCTTGAACTTAGCCCAGTTAGCAAATGAATCTATATCTTGGATTCGAACTTGGTTCAAAGTTCAAATTAAATCGAACCAAATCAAACTTTTTATGAGCTGAATTTGAAGGGCTCATGAAAGGCTCAATTTGTGTCTACCCCTTGTTAAAAGCCACTGTGAAGAAGCCCTCCAAATTGGCAACATGTGAACTGTTTGTCCAATCAATAAAACCTATCAAGAGAATCGGTATTCAACTACTCATCGGTGTAAATTCAAATGATCAGTATAGTGCAAGTACAAACTATTATTACACAATGTACAAGTTACACTAGCTTCTATAACATTTTGTTCAAAGAAGTGTTACTATTTAAATGTTGAAAAGAAGTGCTAATTAAAATCTAGGGTAAATTTCTGAAACCTCCTCTAAAGTTTTTGACCGTTGCTAAAATCTCCCCTGAAGATTAATAATTGTAGTATATGTTTAGCACCGATGCTGCAGCTACAGCACCGTTGTGGGTTAAAAGCATCATTTGTTGAGAAAACAGTGCTTTTTTGTTTGGAAACGTTGTTGGCAGGTAAGACGTTTCCTGGAGCAACAACAACATTTTCTGTTTGGTACCAATACTTAAGGAAACGTTTTCTGCACTGGTACCTATTATTCAGTACCACATCATGTCCCTGTCACTGCCACCTCAGATCCCTATTGGCAGTAGCGAGCTGCAACTCCAAGAAATGCCAAATTCGGCATTGCTCCAAGCCATGCACGCCTTCCCGATTTTCATGGCATGGTTTAGAACACCATTTTTTATGGAAAATGATTCCAAACAAACAAGCGTTTCTTGGAGCAGCATTTTTCCGACGTAGCACTGATGTGTCATCGTTTTCTAGAGCAATGACATCGATGCCAAACAGACATGTAATCACCCCCTAAACTTTCTGACATAATTGCAAGTAGACCCCTTATGTTACAATCTTTTATATAAAGAGAGACAAAAATGCCCAACATACCCATGCAATTACTATTGAGGGTGGTTTCAAAATAAAAGACAATTAGACAATACAAATTTTATAAACAACAAAAAGAATAAAGAACCTAAAGTTGTAACTTTGTCCTTTGAATGATTGATATGAAAGGCTTGAAAAATAAATCAATTTTGGAAAGGTGATTGGAAGGGGTTTGGGTTAGAGATTCAAGAAAAAATTTGGAAAATAAATATTTTGATCATAAGTACATGCATAGGTATTTTGGACATTTTTTTACCTATTTTAGAAAATTCTAACAAAAGGATCTATAAGCAACTATGTCTAAAGTTCAAGAAAATTAATTGACTGACCAGATCTGAAATCAATAGCTATTCTCAAATTTGCTCAAAATGTAACTCATCACAAGCATGAAAGATGTAAGATGTTTTCAATACACGCTAGCATATGCATGTGGGGCACCAATCTGATCTCCATCCTCACCAACCTCGGCACTTACTAGGGCTATTCACGGGTCAGGTTGGATCAGTTTACCAAGATTTTTCCAACCGATCCGACCTGGTCGGGTTACCTGAAATTGAAACCGAAACCGATCCTGTGTTAAGCAAAACCGACCTGGTCGGTTTGACTCGGGTTGGGTTGGTTTGGGTCGATTTTAGCTCTAAGTTCAACCATGGTAATAAATTGGAGGGTTTGGAGAAAGAAGACTGAAATTTGATGTAAAAAAGGGCACCTAATTCTATTAGAGAAAGAAGACTGAAATTGGTAAGGGGCGGACCAAATTAGAATATAAGTTATCAAGAAAATAGAAAGTCAAACTTTATTAGAGAAAGAAACTAAAATTTGTATATTTCAAGAAACATTCTAATCTAAGTAAAAAATGACACCTAATTCTAATTGTAATTGATTGCCTATTTGGTGTAAAAGACCAAAAAACTAAGATCCTTTGATTCTTTTCTTTAAATTTTTTCAAAAAATTCCTTGTTTAGTGGTCTTACAATACTTGCCATTAATGTCATTCCTAACTAGAAGACTAGAAATTAAGTTAGATTATAAATATGATAGAGACAACTTAGTTAAATAAGAACTAAGTAGATTCTAACTACTAAATTTTCACATATGAAAATCGAAATCAAGCTCAACTATCAATTTATGATTTTTTACAACTTGAAACCGATCAGTACAGAAAAAAACCCGCCGACTAGGGTTGAATCGGTCCAAATTAATCGATTTGGTCGGATTGGATCTTCTGAACAGCCCTATCACTTACGACTGTCCGATCCAAAAAAGAAGCTGATTTTTTCAAAAGTGTCCGGATCTGAAAGTAGTAGATCCAAGCTCATTTATGTTTTCACATTAATGAGTCCCAACGGTCACGGCATACTGTGCCTAGAGAACCGAGACATCGTGGACCTGTGACAAACCCTAGTTTGGCTGTTCCCCCACCCCCTGCTCTTCACCTTCACGAACAGACAAGCTCACCCAATAAAGAATGTATCTATAATCTATATAACAAAAACCCATTAGACCTCGGAGCATAGCCAGAAAGTTTAGCTAGGCTACTCTTCCAAGTTTCATATCCATGGCTTCTCTGTCACAACCTCACGTAGTTATCTTCCCTTTCATGGCTCAAGGCCACACCCTCCCTCTGTTAGACCTCTCAAAGGCTCTCTCCCGTCGAGGCATCAAAGTAACCATCATCACCACCCCATCAAACGCCCTTTCAATACTCCTTCACGTCAAGGACCACCCAAACATACATGTCATGGAGATCCCATTCCCGCCGGTGGAAGGCCTCCCTAAAGGCTGTGAGAACACTGTTGATCTTCCTTCCATGGACCTATACACTACCTTTTTAATGGCTACCGTTCAACTTCAACAGCCCTTCGAGCAAATCCTGCGAGAGATGTCCGAAGTTGGGTCGCTCCCCATTTGCGTCATCTCCGACTTCTTTCTGGGCTGGACGGCGACTGCCTGTCGTCCGTTTGGTGTCCCTCGCCTCGTCTTCCACGGCATGGGTGTCTTACCCATGCTCATCTGTAAGACTCTGTATACAAACAAGACATACCTGAGGAGCGTGGCATCAGACTCGTCGTCGGAGGCTCTAGTTCTAAACCTGACGGGGCAAAACCTTCCCCCCTTGAAGCTTTCTCAGGCCGATTTGCCGGACTTTACCCTAGGAATAAACAACTGTAACTCGTTCTTTCGCTTCCTCGCTGAGATTGAGCAGCAAGAGTGGGACAGCTGGGGAATCATCGTTAATAGTTTCGTGGAGCTGGAATGTGAATACGTGCCATCCTTTGAGTCATTCTATAAAGATGGAACCGGAGCATGGTGTGTGGGGCCTCTTTTACTCTACGACGAAGTAAGAAATGTAAATAAGACCCACATTGGTGATCCAGCTGATATCTATATCAAGTGGCTGGATGAGCAAACCGAGTCCGAGTCTGTCATCTACGTTTCCTTCGGTACCCAAGCGAATGTATCCGATGCACAGCTAGATGAGGTGGCGTTTGGGCTGGAGATGTCAGGCCATTCGTTCATCTTGGTAATAAGGTCGAATACATGGAGCGCACCAGATGAAGTAGAGGATAGAGTGAGAGGGAGGGGCTTGATCCTACGGGACTGGGTGGATCAGCGGCGTATCTTAGCACACAGAGCGACAGGCGGGTTCCTGAGCCACTGCGGTTGGAATTCTGTATTGGAGGGCTTGACAATGGGACAGCCAATTCTGGCCTGGCCCATGATAGCAGAGCAATCACTTAATGCCAAGTTCGTGGTGGAGGGTCTGGAGGCAGGCATATTGGTCCCAAGGGAATCCACATCAGGAGAGAAGACTGTAGCCGTCAGACGCGAGGTGTTGACGGATGGAGTGAAGGAATTGATGGGAGGAGAGAAGGGGAGGAAGGCTAGGGAGAGGGCTAAGGAGTTGGGGAGAATGGCCAGAGAAGCAGTGAAGGAAGGTGGGTCGTCCCATAAGAATTTGAGCCAACTGATTGAAAGCTTGAGCCAGCTTAAGATGAAGCAGCAGACTTGTGTAAAAATAGTCTAATTAAGATGAGGTTGGGTGGGTGAAAAAACATGTGGTATGGTAGTTTGGGAAAATTACTTACATCTCCTAGTTTCCACGACATATAAGCTTTTGTTGTACTTTGACCTCAATAAACCTCATATTTTGCAAAAAAAACAGGTCGACTTTGGTAAGTCTTTTCATGTGAGTTTCACGCTGTTTAGAAGTTTGGAAGACTGAATTTTGGACTTTTTTCGTTAGTTTAAAATGAAGCTTTTATAATCTTTTACACCCCATCTTTTTCAAATGTGTGATACTATGCACATGCTTGGAAAAAAGGGGTTATTTTTCCACAAAATTATTTGAATATGTAAGTGAGATCTACCAATAGTATGTGGGGCTTACTTTGGAAAAATGTATATGGGGCCCATATTGGCCCACATTGAAAAATGTATGTGTGCCCACATGTATGTCCACACATGGACCCACATGCATATCCACCAATGGCATGTGAGGCCTACCTTGTAAAATGTATATGGGGCCCATTTTGAAAAATGTATGTGTCCCATATACATGTCAACACATGGACCCTACTTGCATGTTTAATGTTATGTTCAGCCCACCTTGTAAAATATACATTAGTCCCGCGTGTTAAATGAAAGGTTTGTTGGCCCACATACAAGACATTCATATATACATAACATACATATTTTCATTACATTATCAAACGGTTTTCTAGCTTTTATGATTTTTCTTGAGATTTATGAAAAATATTTCAACCCAACAGTCTTTGGTCTTTCAAAATCTATTTGCAAAAAGTCACCCTGTCTTTTAACTATCAGATGTTGTAATAGATCTTTTGGAAAAGACTTGTCAATAGGCACTCAAATAACTACAGTTTCAAAAATTCATGAAACCTATTGTTGAAATTGCACATAAGAAAAAACCAATTTTTTCCATTCAATTGATTGGGTTTTTATACCATGAAAGGTTAGATCTTTTTGAATTAACATCTGATTTTTGAAGTACTTAAATGCAAAATTCGAAGTAGCGTTCACACCCAAGCTTGAATTTTCCCGATAACACTACAACAAGTATAGGATGGTGCAACTCTCTCCTTGCAGTCTTGGATTTCTTCTTCATAATCTACAATAGCAAAGCTCCAAACTTTCTCACGCTTTTGGCTGAATATTTTGACCCAAAACAAAGTTGGAATAGTGCTATAAGCAAGTTCTTAACTCTTGTGCCCATAACCACTTTCATTTAAACAAGTTAATTGTGTTACATAATGTACATATGGGTTAAATAAAGAGTGATGACAGTGAAAAATCCATTATGATACATCGTTTCCTATCATCCAAAGAAAGAAAAGAAAGAGGACCCCTTAAACAGACCCATTATAAGAAATTTATGGATAATTCTCTAACTAGCTACTATATGTACACAATGAAACTATCTTAACGCACTCGAAAAAAGCAATTGAAACAATTGCTCACGTAGGACAAGCCAACATGCCACAATGCCACAAAGTAGCAATTGAAACAAAACCAACCATGCAACATATGCTATGAAACAATGAGAATAAGAAAGAAAAGGAATTCATGGCCATATGCCCATTTCCATGGTATGTACTTTTTAGGCCCCGTTCGCTTTTCGGTAAGTTGTTTACTTAGGTAAATACAATTATCTGAATAAGTTTTTCCTATGAAACACTTACCCAGGTAAGTGAATTTACCAATGTTGTTTTTTCTTTCTCATGTAAATAAGGTAATGACCATTTTAGCCATAAAAATCCATTATTAAAAATGACATTTTTGTACCATTTAAGTATTGGCAACCTTCCTCTAGGTGGGAAAGTTATTTATCCACCTAGGAGATGGGTATCACTCAGAAAAATAAACTTTCCCTAGTCCCCACATAAATCTGAAAAAGGTACATGGGATTCTTGACCAACTTTCGCCCCTCTCAAAATCCGAAATAAGAGCGCCCCCTTATATGTATATAGCCATGAAGCATTCTAAAAACATCCAAAATTACTATGTGAATGCTTTTCCATTGTATTGTGCAAACTCTTCTTATTTGTCCTAGTCTATTAAACCCCTATTTTGAATAACAAAATGGTGGAAGATGAACTTATTTCCAGTATTGCATGGATTTGGACACGAGAGTCAGAATCTGACATCTATTTACGAGTTTGATTCAATGAACCCAAAAAAAATTAGGGTTTACATACACATCTTATATAAATAATGTTTCATTATATATTGTAATTCTTAATATTATTCTGAAAAATTATTTAACTATATATGTTGGAAAATACCCATACGGGTAGGACCTGGATTGTGGCCCATCATAGTGGCCCATCATAAAGGCAATGATCCAGATTGCATGGTCCATCCAACCACCCAATTAGATCTCATTAAGTGGGTGGTAGGACTTGAATTCTTTCCCAAATTAGTTCGAGATTTCAAAATTGAAATTTTAATTTGAAATTGACCCCATTTAATTGAAAATAATGGAACTGTTAACTGAGAGAAAATTAAGGGAATTAAGTCCCATTGTTTTAGGAAAGTTCTTTGATAGGTGGAACTTGCATAAAAGAAATAATATGAGGAACGTCTCCCTAGTTGACATATGTGCATTTTCTCCACCATCGAACCTCCAATTTTTTAGTGTGTTTTCCTATCAACACTATTTTAGAGAAAGTAAGAGAAAACCACCGTGATCCATTGTGACTCAAGGGAATAGAACAAGTCGATCCTTGTAACCACTAAGTTCTTGTCTTGGTGATTCCACCAAGGAGAATACTTGGATGTGGTTTTTCTTTCTTCTAAGGATTCAAGACTGATACGAGAGGAAATAAGTTTCTACAGATCAAATAGTGGTTATGGTGACTAGAGGTAATCATTTTAATTCATTGTTTTATCATTCTATTATGCCAAGGCAATCACTAGTATACTAGATCTAATAAAATTAGATCTGTTTTTATTATATCTTATTTATTATTTCATGCATGAGATCGTTTTTGCTTGAATAGTAGTGAATGCTTTACCGACTTATAGTGGTAACGGAGCAGTAAGGAATTGTCATGTAGTACACCATGCCTGGGCTACCAGACGTGAATGGTGTAGCTGAGAGAAGAAACATAACACTTATGGACATGGTGAGGAGCATGATGAGTGATTCTCCTTGGTTGTAAGCTTATAGGGAGAGGCCTTAAAAAATGCTGATCAAGGTAGTGTTGATAATTTCATTTGTGTTGTGAGTTGGAAGGAAACCTAATTTAAACCACGTACATGTTTGGGGTTGCAAAACCAAAGTGAGGATGCACAATCCACAATTAGGGAATTTGGATATTAGGACCGTTAGTGGACATTTTGTAGGGTATGCTAAAAGATCCAGAGGATTTAGTTCCATTGTCTAAATAACTTCTCGAGAATTGTAAAGGCAACAAATGAGGATCTCTTGGAGAGTGGGAGTGAACATCCAAAAGCATTGAGTTTAGGGAAGTCCAAAACATTAACAAACATTTTAATGTTATTCTACCTACGAATTTGTATATGGTACAAGAAGAACAACCATTAATAGAAAAAACTACTGAAGCTCATCTTGTAGAACCTACAAAACAAATTTCAGTTCTTATAGAGAACATAGAAACACCGGTATTACTTCAGGAGGCTAAGTTTAATGTGGGACCTTTTGTAAATCCACTAACGTTTAGAAAAGCCATGGATAGTCATAACTCCATGCTTTGGCTTGAATTTATGAAAAGTGAAATTGACTCTATGGTCACTAATGGTGTCCGATACTTAGTACCTTTGCCAATAGGTTCTCGGACAATTCCATGTAAATGGATATTCAAGACATAAAAGGTCCCTATTGATGAAATTAAGAATTACAAAGTTAAACTTGTGGCCAAAGGGTACAATATAGAGAAGAGAGTTGACTATAATGAGACATTTTCTCTTGTTTCTAAGAAGGATTCCTTCAAAATAATCATGGCCTTGGTAGCTTAATACGACATGGAGCTACATTAAATGGATGTAAAAACAACATTTCTGAATGGTGATGTGGAAGAGGAAATGTACATGGTGCAACTTTATGGATTTGTAGTAGAGGGCAAAGAACACTTAGCTTATATACTGGAAAAGGCCATTTATGGATTGAAACAAAAAGCCTCTCATTAATGGTACTATAAGTTTCACAGTATTATTACATAGTCTGGGTCTAATTAAAATGTTGTAAATCAAGATGTACCTCAAGGTCAATTGGAGTAGTTTTATTTTACTAGTGCTATATGTTGGCGATATTTTGTTAGATAGAAGAGATATGAGCCTTTTGTACCAAACTAAAGAATTTTTAAACTAAAATTTAGCATGATGAGGTGCAACTAAGATTTAGTTTACTATGTCTAGGGGTTGTGTCTAATAGGATGTTCAATGTTGTGAGTGTCGGAAAAAACCGGCTCACTTGTCACTTGGGCTAGAAATAGAATCGCCACCCATCATTTATGAAATTGGAGGTGATGGGACCTCTGAGAGTGATTTTCAAAATATTTTGCTTTAATAGTGACTCCAAAACCCAAGGCATTGACTACACTAGTCCATGTAAGACTCGGATGGGAGAGGGAAGGGATTAGGCACCCTTCTCCTGGGTCCAATAGGTGGGGCCCATACGGTATAACAACAAGCATGGAGAAACAATTATTCAATTGATAAAAAGCATAATAAGCAAAACCAATGAGATGCGAAACATCACAATAGAACCCTCCTTAAATATATTTTTTATTTTTGCTTTCTTTGTATCTTCCATATTTTATATTTTTTTATTTATTTTTTCATTTTTATATTATTATATTTCTTTAAAGCTTATTTCCCCTTTACAAATATATTCTACTTACCAAACTGGAAAACTATTTATATTTCTTTAAAGCTTTTTTATTTTATTTTTTAATTTCATGTTATTACCATTATTTTGCTATGCTCTGTTTTCACCAGCCTGATCCCTCTTCACTCATCTAACTTGCAAAAGATCTAATCCCCTCTACCCTCTTCTCTATTCTCTCTGATCTAGTCTTAAAGGAAATCACCCCATCTCATCTCCCCTGTCCGATCCCAATTCAGGTAAACAGATAAAAAAAAAGAAACAGATAGCTCGATCGATCCACTGTCATCACACCACAGCTTCACCACACAAGGAATTACCAGCAAAATGAATCGATGACAAAAAAATAATAATACA